AGAAATAAAAAAGACAAAGCCCAGTAGGTTAAAAACAAAATAATCAGTATGGCAAGTGATATAACTATATTCAGAAATACTCTCATCTCTTTAATGTGCTATGAACAGTAACAGAAATGGTCAAATACCATTCATTTCCTTAAAACCTCCCTAAAGTAGTTTACTCTTGTATCATCTCACAGGTAGAGGACAATTTCTACTGCAAATAAATTAAATTTCAAATCATCTGGAGTATATTCTCCAGCAGTGTCATTTTTTGGAAAATCAACCAATAACATCCGATCTAAAATATCACAGATTCATGACCATCAAATCACCCATTGGCCACGAGTGTATATTTCATTTTTAGTACACTTTGTGTTGAATAGTATGGGACTTATGTACCAATCATAAAACAGAAGCAGAAAAAGACTCCCCTTCCCCCAAACAAAACAAAACAAATCCACACACAATTAGATGTGCTGCAAATGTCAGCTCTTGTAACAAACAAATCTTTTCTCCAGTAAGTTACAACTAGCACAACACAACAGCTATGCCCAAAACACTGCCAGCAATGTACACTCAAAAACATAAAAGTCCCTTTTACAGCACCCATACCCAATGCCAAATGTATTTTAAGTGACATCACCTAGAATATCCTAGGCTGTTCCACCTCCATTTGTCTTCTACAATAATAAATACAATGCAGGTTGGTGTTTTGGGCTCCAAGAATAGGGATAGAGGTTATCAAGTCTGAGGCAACCACGAAGAAGCAAGTTTTAGGATTTCTCTCATCTTACAGCTAACTACTTCCCTCCTACCACAGCTTTTCTACTTCAAGGTTTTCAATACCACAGACTACCAGAAAAACCCAGTGACTTTGCTGTAAGCCTCCACTAACTAGATTCTGGAGTGCATAAGTAGAAGGACTTAAAATGCACTGGCATAAGTGACCTGACTTAGGGACCCCAAGTTGGCCATTTTGATAACTAGACACAAGAAAATTCTGTAACAGGAACTAAGAATTTGAAAACATTTGACAATTTTGTCCCTTAAGTGCCTAAGAGACTGAAGAGTCCAAAGGCAAGTTTACACCAACCCAATCACACATCAGGGAGCGCTGTAGTGGGACACATTATGGCTGCTTCTTACATATTACCTCCCAAATAAAACAGCATAGATAGGTGCACATCAATAAGATCTCCTGAGAGGAAAAGCTTGTTGGCACAGGCCCAACACCACACTAAGCCAGTTGCATATTCCTGGTTCACAACACAGTTTATATTGAGTGCATCCAGTGCGACTGACAGCAGGTTTTTCTAGTGCCATCATGGGATGGTGTACAAACATGTCCCATTTTCAAATGGCTTCAGTATGCTCAAATCTCAAAGTTCCATTGTCTTTTAGTGTCACTGTGGCAGGATGCAAGCTCCTGACCAAACAATGTCTAAGGAAGGTTCTGAATCTGGCCTACCGACCTGCTTGTGCAGATGATTCACCTCTATTGTTTCTTTTGGTCTGTGAAGGAATGCAATGCCAATTTTATACGTGGACACAAAAAGAAAAACTCTAAAGAGCCTAAATTTATCTCACAGTCTATTCCTTTAACATTCTGATGTCCACTTTTATACTGTTAAGTCTCTGTACCTTTCATACTTCTTAGTCAACTAAATGAAAGACGAACATCCTTCTATCACTGTGGTTAAATCATTCTGATTGTGAACTAATGTAGTGCCATTTCTGTACAAAGAACAAAAAAGCAATGCTTTTGATGTACAAGCAGCTGGGCAGGTCATATACAGGACCTCACCAAGAAGTTGGTAGCCAAGGAAGTGCAGGAATGGGCTCAGAAAATCTGCCACTACATCAATTCCTATGCCTAAGCTATAGGTGACAGGAAGCACTAAAGTCTCAGTTACTGCCAAAATTCAGGAGCTTTACAGCAAGGAAGACCTTCTATCTCTTGACTTAATACAATAATCTATTTACTTAAGCTAAACAAAACCGTTTATTTGGCTGTAAAAAAGTGCAATTATCACCAGTGAAACCACTGGTTTTAGTTGTGGTTTATAATGCTATCAATTGTGGCTTTTCATGCGAATCTACTATGGAAGACACTGGTGTGATAAGGCACCAAGGTGGTCTACAAGGGATACACCCTGAACTGGAAGTACTGTCACACATAGCATGCTGCAGTGTCACACAGTAGGGCTAATTACTGATTAGCTCACCTGCAGCACCACAAAAATCAGATTGTCATTCAGGAAGTGACAGTGTACTCAACATGTTTACTTACAAAACAAGAGTATATATTTCTGCCCTCAGTAATCAGGTGAAGAGCCAATAGAACTGAGGGCTCTATGACTTTCTTCATCAAAGAGCCAAGTTATTTATTTGTAAAAAGAATGAATGTCAATAAATAGCTTTTGATTTGTCAATATCCGCAACAAACTTACAAGCTCAGTGGTTCTACGCTAGTTAGCACTACATCCAAAAGGGACGTAGGGCTCATAATTGACCATAAAATGAATATGAGCCACCAGTGTGATGCATCAGTTGATGCATGCCAGCATATTGTTGCATCTCAAGCAAAACTAAACTAAAGAAGTTATTCTCCTGCTCTAGTTGGCATTGGTGAGGCTGTAGCTGGAGTACTGTATCCAGTGATGGGCACACTTCAAAAAGGATGCAGAGAAGCTTGAGAGAGTCCAGAGAATAGCCACTTGTATGATTAGAGGCCTGAAGAGCAAGCCATATGAGGGAACGCTGACAGATATGGGACTGTTCAGCCTAGGAAAGAAGACTTTGTGGGGGATTTGGGGGCAGCTTCCAAATATAACAGGGGAGAGCATCAGGGGCTAGGTGAACAACTATTCAGAGCACCCCAGTAGAAAACCAGAAGCAATGGTCATAAACTCCTAGAAGGTTTCACACTGGATGCAAGGAAAAACTTCTCCATGGTTCATGTGACCAGACTCTGGAATAGACTCCCAGCTGGGGTGGTGCAGGCACCTACCCTGGAGATCTTCAAAAAGACTGGACGCATACCTTGCTGACATTATTTGACCCCAGCAGTCTTTCCTGCCCAGAGCAGGAGAGCTGGACCTGATAATCTCACAAGGTTGCTTCCAACCCTAAACGTCTGTAAATCTGTGTATACTGAGCCAAACTGTCACATGAAAACTTTTCCGCATGCAGAAGACAAAAGATTATGAGGACATAGAAGAGAAGACAAATATCTGCTTTTAGCAGAGGATAGCTAAAAGCCAGAGTAGTGAACACTTCAGATCTCTTCAGGAACTCTGAAGGTTATTAGAATATCTGTGTTCAGTGCTATGTATTATAATAAGACTCAGAGCTATTAATTTTGAAATAAGTGACTTTATAGTCTGTCACAACATGTCCTAGTATCAGTTTGCATCGATTCCATCTGAATAAAAGCATAACATTCTCTGCACACAACTGGTGGAAATGTGAACAGTTTAATTATACCATAAGCACACTGTAAAACTCAAGCAAGCAGCAAACATCTTTAAACAGATTGCCATGTTTAAATGAGGTTCATAAAGGTCAACATTTTGCTCTTACTCCAGATCCAGATTAGCAAGTGGAAAAGGCAGTTCCCCAAATCACATTATCCAAATTTATGCTACTCAAATATCATTCTGTAGTAGCTTCTGCATGACAGAAGGATATGCAAGCAACCTGATGTAAAGTAAAAAGAGAGACCCTGAACTCAGAAAATACTTGTTTCCCCACAAGATCATGTCCCGTGTTTCAAGTCATGCAGATTTCAGATGAAAATGAGACATCCCACCCCCCAGTTCGGGCAACTTCAACCAGGGATCCCCATATTCAGTGCAGAAAACAAAATCCTCCTTTCTTCACACATACATTTCCACCTGTTTATCACTGTAATGGGCCCATACCCACCGCATACAGCTTACCCAGACCAACAGACTCCCAATAACATAATTCAAAGTGTTTTATAAAGGTTGCCTAGGTGTAAAGAAGAAAAGACTCAAGCTTACAAAGTGGCATCTGTAGATTTCAAAGAACTTTACAAAATAGGTAACCATTAGCCACGCAAGAAAGTGGGTGCAGAGGAGCTCAGCAACTCTGTCACACAGTAAGACACAGAAATATTCCAAAAAAGAATCCAGGCCTCTTGAACCTGTGCACCATACACTGCCCAACCGATCCTAATGATTTCATTACAGGTAACAGAAAATATAATTTTTTGTGCAATGTAGATCCACACGTGTACTCAACATGTTTACTTTTGGTTTGTCAAAAGTACACATTTTATTATGCTGTATCCTGCAAGCAAATTCCCTTTTACAGAGAGGCGCGGTAATTTGTTCTGCTTCGTTCACTAATTTTTACAGACATGTTTGAGATACAACGTAGCTACGCCATTAGACAGGACATCACGTTACCCATGCAAAATGATGCAGGAATTCACAGGTCAATGTCAAATCTACTCAGTTAAAAAAATAAAATAAGAGGGCAAGTAAGTACAGTTTCAAGTGCTACAGGCGCTTCCAGTGTCAGCCCCATGGCAATCGCTTTCAGGCTTTAAAGTGTTTTCCTCTTCCCGGAGGTTACGTTTACAAAACAAACAAACTGACACCAGGGTGGAAAAAGACGGGGAAGAAATATAAGAAGCAGAAAAGGGTGTATGCAAAACGCTGAAGGCACAGAGGGAATCAACAGGAGCCAATCTATTGCCATGACAGTCATCTTAGGCGTTACTTTTAACAACAGAAAGATCCCACAAAACGAGAGGACTGGGGCAGCAGCGACCCAAGCCCCGGCCCTCACCCCCGGGGCCGAACCGCTCGCACCTGACGCGCAAGACCCCCCCCCCGCGCAGGCCGTGCCCAAGACGAGCGGGTGCGGGTGCGTGTGCGCGGAGCCGCCGCGCTCTTCTGGCCGCAGCAGCGGCTTCGCCTCCACGTCTCCCAAGTCAGCCAAGTTCCTCGCGCGACACTCCCCAACCCCCGCGGGCCCGGCCTCACCTCCTTGACGGGCGGGAATTTCTTGCGGCACTCGAGGCTGAGGCCGCGCAGGTCGCCCTGCATGTTTTCCAGCAGCTTCTTCACCGCCTCAGGGCTGCTGGTGCCGGACATGGCGGCGGCAGCGCCGCCGGCCCCGGCCGAGCAGA